CATTTATGTTTGGAAATCCTTTTAATCGCTCTTATGCACAGGAGGCGTACGTGTAAAAGAAACCTGGACTTATAATGAAACCACACGCGTTTGGAAACAAGCCAAGTAACGATGATCTTAAACTGCAGAACAATCTCGTTAGGACAGTACCTCCCCCGATCACCATGCCACAAGACGGCCACATAGCAATCACAACCACATCATGTGTCTTTTACGTGGCTATGTACGTCCTTCATGCAATAAGGCGACCACATAGCAATTAAAACCACATCGTTTGTCTTTTAGTTATGAGGTTAACGGCCGTAAGTCGAGGTTCTGCTTCCTGCTGAGGCGGTAACTCTGTGGAAGGAAATAAATAGAATTTATTACTTACGATGAACATAGACTAAGGGACGAATGAGATGTAAAAATGTAAAGAAGGGTGTAATACAATAGAAGTAAAAAAGCAAAACAGTAGTTAATTAAGCATTTATGTATATATATATTTTTTCAAAGTTCGGAAAGTCCCACCAAGAAATAGCTTCATCTCTGCTTACTTTGATGGGCCTTTGCGTGCGAAATCGATGACGGAAACACCTCCAGATCCTGAAGTGCCACCAACGCCTCCTGAAGTGCCACCGAAGCCTCCCGAAGAGCCACCGCTTCCAAAGCCTCCTGTATTGCCACCGAAGCCTCCTGTGGTGCCACCGAAGCCTCCTGTGGTGCCACCGCCTCCTGTGGTGCCACCGAAGCCCTCTGTGTTGCCACCGAAGCCTCCTGTGGTGCCACGAAGCCTCCTGTGTTGCCATCCTGTCCACCGAAGCCTCCTGTTGCCACCGAAGCCTCCTGTGTTTGCCACCGAAGCCTCTGTGGTGCCACCGAAGCCTCCTGTGTTGCCACCGAAGCCTCCCACCGAAGCCTCCTGTGGTGCACCGAAACCTCCTGTAGTGCCACCGAAGCCTCCTGTGTTGCCACCGAAGCCACCGAAGCCTCCTGTGGCCACCGAAGCCTCCTGTGTGCCACCGAAGCCTCCTGTGTTGCCACCGAAGCCTCCTGTGGTGCCACCGAAGCCTCCTGTGTTGCCACCGAAGCCTCCTGTGGTGCCACCGAAGCCTCCTGTGGTGCCACCGAAGCCTCCTGTGGTGCCACCGAAGCCTCCTGTGGTGCCACCGAAGCCTCCTGTGGTGCCACCGAAGCCTGAAGTGCCTCCCAGTCCACCGTAGCCTCCGGTGCCAACTGGTCTGCCGCCAAAGCCTCCGGTTCCGCTTCCGAAAGCTCCTGCGCTCACACCGGTGCCAGTGAAGCCTGCGCTAACACCGAGGCCTCCCGGCCTACCGCCGAAGCCTCCAACACCCCCGCCAAAGGCCCCCGCGCTGCCGTAGCTTCCGTAGCCTCCCGGGCGGAAGCCGCCGAAGTGCCTCGCCCCGCCTCGCCTTCCTCCGCCCTTTCCCTTGCCTCCCGGGTCGGCCTCCGCCACGCAAAGTAGCGCCACGACCGCCACCTGGAAGAAGGCGGTAGAACATAAATGACATCAGTAAGAGCGGCGAAACTGGATGAAGAATTATAAATAAAGAGATGAACAAATAAGTGAATGAAAATGTATCCGCAGAAACAAATCGAGCGATGAATAACATCGTAGTTCCTACTGCTCTTCCAACCTATTCCAGCGCGCCGCCACTTGTGAAAAAGGAAGAAGAAATCTTGGCACACCACCGTAATAATTTCCGCTGCGAATTCACTTGGGAAAACGATAACAGAAAAAAAAAAAATAAAGAAGAGAATAGTACTGCTATAAACACTATGACTATTACATCACGGGAAATATAACGGACTTTGAAACGCTTGGACGAACGTGCACATTACTCACAAAGGCCACAGCAGCTCTCATCCTGTCCTTGTCGAGTGAACCTGCTGAATAAGCTACAGGTCGGGTTCCTTCGGCGCTATTTGTAGGCGCTTGACCCTCCCCTTGGGGTAGGGGGTGGGGGTGAGATGCCAGTTAATGATTAGGACGAGATTTTACAAGGAGTCTGATGTGTCGACTGTGTTTGAAAAAATAAAGATATACTAGAGATGATTAATGCCCTTGCAATGTTAATCCTTCTCTGCTCAAGCCTACTCGTTCCTCGATGCAAGCGCCTGCATCGAGGCAATGATTACTAGACTCGAAGGTTGCTAAAAAAGAGAAACATAAGCCTGCAAACGTTCGGGGAAAACCAAGGAGGGTCGTGAGCCGCGCGGGATTGCCTAAACTCGGGGATTTTTCCTCGTGCGTTTTCTTCCCCATCGTCGCATATTCCTCTTCGTGTTTTCCTTTCAAGAATATCTTGTTTCCCTCCATTATTCGATCTAGTTTGTGCCAGCAACCGACCTTGAACACGAGAGGAGGGCCGAACACGCAAGCAAGCAAGCAAGCAAGCAGCCTGGATACAAGTGCGCTGGTGTTTTGCCTGTGGCTTTGTATGCGAGCGCCATGCAAAGCCAGGCAGGAGGACCGCGCTTGGAATCGTCGTCTGCTCTGCGAATGACGTGAACGGCCGGAGGAGGAGGACATGGCCGCACCTTTTTTCCGTCAAGCGCCCGTGGACTTATTATCTTCACCTCTTTCTCACTGTGTTTGTTCGTTTGTCTGTTTGTCATTTCATTTCCCTCCCCATCTTTCTCGGTCTGTCTGTCTGTCTGTTTGTCTATCAATCTATTTATGCATATAGGGATATGCTGATTGGTATATAGATAGATAGGCAGATAGATTAATGAATAAACGGATAGATAGATAGGCAAGCAGGTACGTAAATAGAAAGAGAGAGAGAGAGAGAGAGAGAGAGAGAGAGAGAGAGAGAGAGAGAGAGAGAGAGAGAGAGAGAGAGAGAGAGAGAGAGAGAGAGAGAGAGAAAGAGAAAGAGAAAGAGAAAGAGAAAGAGAGAGAGAGAGAGAGAGAGAGAGAGAGAGAGAGAGAGAGAGAGAGAGGAGAGAGAGAGAGAGGAGAGAGAGAGAGAGAGAGAGAGAGAGAGAGAGAGAGAGAGAGAGAGAGAGAGAAGAGAGAGAGAGAGAGAGAGAGAGAGAGAGAGAGAAGAGAGAGAGAAGAGAGAGAGAGAGAGAGAGAGAGAGAGAGAGAGAGAGAGAGAGAGAGAGAGAGAGAGAGAGAGGAGAGAGAGAGAGAGAGAAAAGAGAAAGAGAAAGAGAAAGTGAGAGAGAGAGAGAGAGAGAGAGAGAGGAGAGAGAGAGGAGAGGAGAGGAGAGGAGAGAGGAGAGGAGAGGAGAGGAGAGGAGAGGAGAGGAGAGGAAGAGAGAGAAAGAGAAAGCGAAAGCGAGAAAGTGAGAGAAGAGAGTGAGAGAGAGAGAGAGAGAGAGAGAGAGAGAGAGAGAGAGAGAGAGAGAGAAAGGGAAAGAGAAAGAGAGAAAGAGAGAAAAGAGAGAAGAGAGGAGAGAGAGAGAGAGAGAGAGAGAAGAGAGAGAAGAGAGAGAGAGAGAGAGAGAGAGAGAGAGAGAGAGAGAGAGAGAGAGAGAAGAGAGAGAGAAGGAGAGAGAGAGAGAGAGAGAGAGAGAGAGAGAGAGAGAGAGAGAGAGAGAGGAGAGAGAGAGAGAGAGAGAGAGAGAGAGAGAGAAGAGAGAGAGAGAGAGAGAGAGAGAGAGAGAGAGAGAGAGAGAGAGAGAGAGAGAGAGAGAGAGAGAGAGAGAGAGAGACTAAACTCGTAGGTGAGTCGGGCCAGCTTACCAGTTCTTTTCTCAGGGCATCTAACCGACAAGTGTCCTCCACACAGCCTGTGCGCACTTATCTAACTCCTGCCACAGCGAAATAAAAAAAACAAACTTAAGATCCGTTAAAACAATTTCGAAGCTAATAGGAAGAATATTAATGATGTTTGGTGATGATTATTTGGGTTTTGATAATGATGTGGATAATTACGATATCAATAAAAAGACAATAACAGGAAGAATGATAATGATGATAATAATAGTAATAACAACAATAGTAATATTAGTAAAGATATTAACAGTAATAAAATTATTAACACTAACAGTAACAGCAATAATGATAATGATTGATGACAATAATGATACTCCTGATGATGTGATAATGATAACAATTATGATAATAAGTAAAATAATTATAATGATTATACACTGGTTAGGTAATGGTAATCATAACGATAATGATAATGATGATCATAACGGTAATGATGATGTCAATAACAAAAACAAACAGTAACATATGATAACAGCATCATCAATACTAATATTGATAATGATGATGGTAATAATAATGGTAATAATAATAACAATAATAATGATAATAATGATGATAAGGATAATATCATTCCTAGTCTTGCTAATGCTTCTGATAATGCCTATGATAATGACAATGCTAATATCATTCCTACTCTTACGAATAATGATGATGATAAGAATTATGATAAGTAGGAACCTTGAAAATCAGTTACTGAAATAAAGAAACTGGCACCTTTTCCTAGGTAAACTCTGGTTCAAGTTTTTTTTTTTTTTATTATGAAACTGCATTGCTTCATTTTACGCTTCGAACCCGTCTAGTTTATGCTAAACCACTTCATAATAGTTCAATATTATTGTTTTTTTTTATCATTGACTGTGCATGATTGCATGATTCTAATTAAACTTTGGGGTGAATAAAAATAGCAGCGATTCGGTAATCTCTGTGAAACCTAAATTGATAATGGGAATTGAGAAAGAAATGGGGAAGAGAGGGAACTGAAAGAGAATGAAAGATAGAAAAAAAGAGATGCGTGACTTCACCGGTGGCAGCTGTTTGTTTTTTGTTATGTTTCATAATATCATTCTTTGTTCATGTCATTGTCATACTCTTATTTATGTTTCTCTTTCAATTTTCATCCTTATTATCATCAATGCTATCATTATAAACGTCTTATTTTATTTTCATAATTTTTGTGGGAAATATTTTCTCTTGGTTATGGTTGTTTGTAATGCGACTTTTCTTTGCATGTTGATCTTTGGGTCAGCTTAAGTGTCAGCAACGTGTCACATCA